TCATTGTCCTGTTGGAACGTAAATCTTCGCCCCAGTCTAAGGTCGTTTGCACTCTGAAGCAGGTTCTCATCAAGGATTTGCCTGTATTTGGCTCCATTCATCGTTCCCTCTATCCTTACCAGTCCCCCAGTCCCTGCCACTGAAAAGCATCCCCATAGGCATGGTGTTAGACGGGTGATGAGCTGTGTCTGGTTTTCTTTGTCTCATCAGAACATAGAATCTTTTGTCTTATGCTCTCAGTCTTTCACGTGCCTTTTTGGAAACTCCTTTTTCTCAGGAGTGGCTTCTGTCTGGCCACTCTCGCATAAAGCCCAGATTGGTGAAGTGCTGTAGAGACTGTTGTCCTTCTGGCAGTCTCTCCCATCTCAGCCAAGGAACTTTGTAGTTCTTTCAGAGTGGTCATTGGGTTCTTGGTCACCTCCCTGACCAAGGTCCTTCTTGTCCGGTTGCTCAGTTTGGTCGGACGGCCAACTCTAGGCAGAGTCTAGCTAGTTCCATATTTTTTCAATTTCCCAATGATGGAGACCACTGTGCTCTTGGAAACAGTCAACACACAGACATTTTTTATACCGTTCCCCAGATATATGCCTCATCACAATTCTACCTCGGAGATCTACGGACAGTTCCTTGGACTTCATGGTGAAGTTTCTGCTCTGACATGCACTGTCAACTGTGGGACCTTATATAGACAGGTGTGTTTCTTTCTAAATAATGTCCAAACAATTGAATTGGCCATAGGTGGACTGGCCACGGTTGTAATGACATCTCAAGGATAATCAAAGTAAATTAGATGCACCTGAGCTCAATTTGATATTTCTGTATTTCATTTTCAATAAATTTGCAAAACATTTTTAAAATATGTTTTCACTTTACCATTATGGGGTATTGTGTGTATACGGGTCAAGGTGTATTAATACTTTCTGAAGGCACTGTAGCTAGCTAGAGTACAGGCAATACTGGAGCTGTTTGACATTGAGGCGTCAGTGAATGGGAATCTCATACTTAACCCCCGGCTCTGTTGTACTTGACCTTGAATTAGGTATAAATTATGCACATGAGCCGTAACAGAACACGGGAGTGATCCTACGACCTGCCTGCCGTGTGCTTAAACCTCCTTCCACCTGGCTGTTTCATTATGCACAATGATCAAGCCCGATAATGGACCTGTCTGACCTGTACCGCGCACATACACACACACACACACCGCAAACAACACAGGATACCTGCTACAGCCATGCCATGCTTGTCACCCAACACCCCCGGCCCTCCAGACCTAAGTGGCGGGTTGTATCCAGGTTCCTGTAAACAAATGAGGACAATACTGCCTGTCTTTTCATGACAGTGAGGGGTCAGAGGAACACGAGGCCGGTGACGGACAGGCATCTGCTCTACTAGTGTTAAACGCCTACTGTAATTTCAGACGGTCAGGGAGTCAGTGAGCACTGCAGGGCCAGGTGAAGAACACACACAGACATACACATCAACACACGTACGCACACACACACAGACACACACAGAGAGACCATGATTGTACTGTGTGAAATCATGGGTTTGAGACATCATCCTGACACCTATTTCTCAGGTACATCGCTCTGGTCTCCATCTCTCCATCTCTAGATAAGTGTTATGATTTGGGGTCACGGCCTGTTTTAGTGAGTTGTGCTTAGCCTTCAGTGATCCCGGAGAAAATATGTCTGTGAGAAAGTCTTTGCCCTCAGACAGAACTGTGAGTATAAGGGGCCAGGAAATAACAGCTTCTTCACAACCTCAATTAGAAGAAAACCACCCCTCTCTTTCTCTTCACTGTGCTGGTACCTGGTGCTTAGCCCAGGTCTCTAGTGGGGAGTGGCTACTAGCCTATTTTATCACTGCTTTAAAAGGCTAACTACCCTCTGTAGACAAATAAATAGTATTCTAAAGGTCAGCGCCAGTGGTATGAATTCAATTTGGTAGCATGAGTAATGTTCCACAGAACTATTATGCTGTTACGTTGTACTATAAATGTGATTTCAACAGGGAAGTCATATTGAGACTAAAGTCTCTTTTGCAAATGAGCCCTGCACAATACAAAAAGGAACACTTCAATAGGCAAGTATAGATAAACATAAATATACACAATATACACATTAAATACACATTAAGATACAAAACACAGTCAATTAAAACAAACACATTCTTCATTCGAAAAATCCTCTGTCAGCTATCGGATTTGCCCTAGGGACACCAAAGCATCCAATTGAATCGCCTTTTGGAGATAATTCCAAACATACGGTGCAAGGAAGTTAAAGGCTGATTTACCTAACTCTGTAGACACCAAAGGAGGTAGATAGGTCCATTCTATGAGTTATATTTCTATGATTGAAATGACACCCACCCTGTATTCAAGAGTATGCTGTGTCTCAACCAATGACGGGGACAACACAAACCCCTCAGATGATGTAAAATAGGGTTTAAGCTACAACATACAGTATGTGAAAATGAGAAAAATCTAAGTTAACAAATTTTTTGATCATTAAAGGGGGTGCAGTCAGAAAGTGATTGAATTCATACAGGATTACCCACTCACTTATGCATCTTATTTACATTTAAAAGGTTGCAAGCCCAGAGTTTATTTGACACAAGTCAGCCACCAAGGTAAACATTCTGCACCAGGTTAATATGTGAAGAGCATCAGTAAGTGGCTGCTTTTCTCATCTCAGCGATTACTGAGAGAAACGTATTCTGTATTATCCCGTCAGATACGTGGTTTGAACCAAAGTTTGCTGACACTCCTGTCCAAGGTTATAGACTCATAACTTCAGATTTCTGTTAGGACAGATTGACACTGAGAAGATGCTCCTCTCCACTGTCATTGGCTATAGGCCATCGTGTCTGCACTTGTAGGATTTAGGAGGGGCGTGGGGTAACTATAAAACATATTTCCTCCTAGGCTCTGTGGTAAGGAAATCAATACCAACAATGTAATGCAGCTCAAATCCATCTAATTTCCTCTCAAGAATTTTGGATCAGAGCCATTGGTCCTAGTGGTGCAGACAGATCCACAGTGCCCCCTGCTTGTAAACATATATATGGAAATTGAATAGGGGTGTTGCTGCTGCTTGACATACAGATCTGGATTGTCTATGTTCATGTATACTACAAAAAACACCATCTAGGTGAAAGCACATGCAGGTGAAAGGACAAGATAGGGTTCAATGACATGTGGATGGACTAGAGTTTGTCTAGGGGTATTCCACAAATGTCAGACACTTTGAGATCAGTAAGCACAATGGAAAAGCAACAACACATCTGCCACGCTGATCCTCAACACAGGGGCCCCTCAGGGGTGCGTGCTTAGTCCCCTCCTATACTCCCTGTTCACCCACGACTGCGTGGCCAAACACAACTCCAACACCATCATTAAGTTTGCTGACGACACAACAGTGCCTGATCACCGACAACGATGAGACAGCCTATAGGGAGGAGGTCAGAGACCTGGCAGTGTGGTGCCAGGACAACAACCTCTCCCTCAATGTGAGCAAGACAAAGGAGCTGATCGTGGACTACAGGAAAAGGCAGGCCGAACAGGCCCCCATTAACATCGACAGGGCTGTAGTGGAGCGGGTCAAGAGTTTCAAGTTCCTTGGTGTCCACATAACAAACAAACTATCATGGTCCAAACACACCAAGACCATCGTAGAGAGGGCATGACAACAACTTTTCCCCCTCAGGAGACTGAAAAGATTTGGCATGGGTCCCCAGATCCTCAAAAAGTTATACAGCTGCACCATCGAGAGCATCCTGACCGGTTGCATCACTGCCTGGTATGGCAACTGCTCGGCATCTGACCGTAAGGCGCTACAGAGGGTAGTGCATACAGCCCAGTACATCACTGGGACCAAGCTTCCTGCCATCCAGGACCTCTATACCAGGCAGCGTCAGAGGAAGGGCCAAAAAATGGTCAAAGACTCCAGTCACCCAAGTCATACTGTTCTCTCTGCTACCGCACGGTTTTCATTGACCCCCCCTCCCCCCACCCCTTTTTTTACGCTGCTGCTACTCTTATTATCTATGCATAGTCACTTTAACCCTACCTACATGTACAAATTACCTCGACTAACCTGTACCCCCGCATATTGACTCGGTACTCGTCATTTTTATTATTTTATTGTGTTACTTTTCATTTTATTTTTATTTTGTTTTACTTTACTTTAGTTTATTTAGTAAATATTTTCTTAACTTTTCTTGAACTGCATTGTTGGTTAAGGGCTTGTAAGTAAGCATTTCACGGTAAGTTCTACACCTGTTGTATTCGGCGCATGTGACAAATCAAATTTGATTTGAAAGAAGGACAAGGCACACTTGAGAACTACTGACACATATATAATCTGTCTTAATCCATTGCCTATACATGCAATGTTTCCAACGACCATGACATGTCCTTTGCCATAGAAGACAGATGATAATTTCTCTAAGCAGAAATACCTATGCATTGTAGACTGCAGTGAGTTTCACTTTGGATGGACACTTGAAAGTCTTGTTCTGGGAATTGGTCTATGTCTGGTCCTACACTGCCATCTAGTGTATATCATCACAAGTTCTCCAAAGGAATTTGATGTAAATGATGGTGGATTTGATTGACGTCTTTTCCCTGAAATTGTCTTTAACAATGCTGATTAATATGGGCAAAAATACATATAATGAGAGGTACGCCCTATATTACCTCCAAATAAAGGTAGGGTAATGTTATTTTTATTTAGAAAACATTTTAGTCATAACATACCAAATAGAATAGCTTCAAAATGCTAGAGTGATACTCACTAATATTGTTATTCCAATCCCATTCCACATGCACTTCACCTTTTTGAGTGAAAGATCTAGGCCTACTCTCACTTTCATGTCGTGCATGTTGGTTACCATGCCAACCCATACTCGGTTCGCGCTGCTCAAACTTGGAAGCAAAAGCTAAACACTGATACAAGTCAACGAAGCTAGCTATCTGCATATATTTTACATTCGACATGGCATCTTGCTTAGTGCCAGACTTTCCAGCTGTTCTAGTTGCTTTGGAGCATTTGGGGGAATTAGGTAAGAAAACAACAGGCGCCTCTCTCTCTTGCTACTGTTACACATGTCATGAGTTACAATAGCTAGCTAGCCCCTACCTATCAAGTCATCGAAACGCGAGTAGAGAAGCATCCGATTAACTGCTACTTTTCAGTGTTGACAACTCCTACATTTGTGATTGAGCGCAGACTTGATGCAACCCAGCCGATTACTTTGATTTGTAATTGCCAAGTTGTATCATTTTAATGTTTCAAATAAGTACTGTATCAGATCTAAATTTACATAGCTAATAGCACAACTTGCCTGTTTGAACGTTTGCCTTGACATAGACAAGCAGCTGAGGGATGAGGGAGTTCCATTCAGTCCTGAGGCCAGTCATCACCTGAAAGAAATAGCTGCTGCCATCAATGAACTGGTAGGCAAATGCCAATAAGGAAAGAGAAGATCGAACATCGTGTAGTCTAAATATTGTTAAAACCAATATGATGTATGTAATAAATAGCATAATAAACTAATCCTCAATGGATAATCTGAAGAGGAATGTAAACCTACCCACTGGGCACACACTGGTTGAACCAACGCTAAATAGACGTTGAATTGACGTCTGTGCACAGTGGGTAGGTAAATATAAAGTATATTCTACTGAGCCATTTACTTTATGTTCGTATTCTTATCTATTTTTATGTCTTATTGTTGTTGCATTGTCGAGAAGGAACCTGCAAGGAAGCATTTCGTTGGACTGTGTATACCATGTGTATCCTGTACATACAACTAATAAAAACTTGAAACTTGAAATTAAGTAAATCCATAGAGACAATGGCCATAGAGGCCAGAGAACTTGCTTTACACTCTCTTTTGAAAACCCTCTTTTCTATAAATCAGGAGACTTCTAGGAGAGTAGTCCACGAACAACTGGAGGTAGAAACTATTGAAACAAGCAAACTCCGACATCAATGCCAGAATATCCGTGATGATGTTCAGAATGAGATATCAGGTAATAACTTATGTAGCCCAATGATATGACTTCATAGAATACAACCCACTGGGCAAAACCTGGTTGGATCAATGTTGTTTCCACATCATTTCAACCAAAAAATTCAATGTGATGACGTTGAATCAAACTGGAAAACTGATTGGATTTGAAAAATAGTCATGAACGTAAGGGAATTTTGTATTTTTTTCACCCAACTTTTAACCAAAATCCAATGACATGCTGGAAATGTTTTGTGGATTTCACATTGAATTCACGTTAGTTAACAACTCAACCAAATGTAAATCAAAACTAGACATTGAACTGATGTCTGTGCCCAGTGGAAAGGAATTAATATTGCCTGGCAGGGCCAGCTCTAGTCTTTTGGGGGCCCTAAGCGAGATTTGGTTTTTAGTGTTCCCCATCTTGATGGCGGAGAATTTTTTTTTGCATTTTTAAAGTACATTTCCTGCAATTCTTCTCATTTTGCCATGGGGTGTAGAGATTCTTTGTTGTTTTGGTTTAAAGCTAATTCCCTGCAATTCTAACATTTTGCCATGACTTATGCCATGTTAGTGATATCTGAGTGAGAGTGACTTACAAAATCAGTGGGGGCCCCCTGGAGGTCAGGGCCCCTGGGCATGTGCAATGCTTGACCGGTCGGTATTTGACCATGATTACTACAAGTTTAGATAGCTGGCTAGACTAACTTACCAATCTAAAAATTGTTAGTTGACATGGCTAACTGAGTGACTGTCAGTGACTGACATAACAAGAGAAAAATTGCTGATGCACAGCCACATTTCGAACTTGCACTTTGTGTATTCTACTATTCTAACTCTCAACAGTAAGTTAAGACCCTGACTGAGTTCCTAAGCGACCGTTTATGTTGCTTATGCCTAGAGCCGACCTTGTTGCCTGGTCTTGCCTTAAAGCTAGAATGAACAAGCTGTCCAAAGTCATGTTTTGCTCACAGAGATTTGTCATTGTCCCTTTCAGCTGGTGTTGCGGCTGCAAGAAATATAAATGCGGGTCAAATCACTCAACTCCAAGATGAACTAAACAGTATAGTGCAAGAAATAGAATTAATGGAGAAAAAACAGGATGTCCTTGAAAAGCAAAATGCAATTCTTTAGTAAGTAATATAAGTAATGTTAAGCAATGTATAGGTGTAACAGATCATACAATTTTTTGGCAACATTTCACATAACATCCATGATGTTATAACATGTTATAACTTGTTTTGGAATCTTTTTCAGTCCTGAGAGAGAGTTGGTGAAAGGTGACCATGAAAATGTCATCAACCAATTAAACTACCAACTGTCAGAGAAGGCCAATAAACAGATTCTGCTCAATGAAACAGTGAACGAGATCAGAAAAGGGAAAGCCAAGATCACAGATGTGGAGACCGCTAAAGTGGCGCTAGAGGAGGACATGATTCAAGAGAGGAAGACGTTTGATGAAACAAATGAGAATCTTCAGAGAGAGGTACATCACAGCCACCACTTATTATAGCTACATTTTAAATGTTTAAATGTTTGTTATTTAGCAGACGCTCTTATCCAGAGTGACTTACAGGAGCAATTAGGTTTAAGTCCCTTGCTCAAGGGCACATCGACAGATTTTTCACCTAGTCGGCTCTTGGATTCGAACCAGAGACTTTTCAGTTACTGGCCCAATGCTCTTAACCGCTCGGGCTAGGCTACCTGCATATCTGAGATACTATTCCCTGCTGTGAGGCGCCGTATTAATCTTATCCTCCCCTGCTGGTCTAGTGTGAGGAAGCCATCAATAACATACAGGACCAGAAGAACAACAATGCAAAGAAACGCAGAGAGCTGGACATTTTTTTAGCAGAACTGTTGGATAAGGAGGACAAAGTCACAGAGCAAAAAAAAGTAAGTGAACTGAAGTATTTCAGTCAAGTAGTAAATTAATGCTCTTGACTTGCTATAACTGCCTTTTTTATTCATTTATAGTAGGATATAAACAGTGGTACAGTAACTAAGTAAAAATAGTACTTCTTAAGTAGTTTTTGGGGTATCTGTACTTTACTTAAAAATATATATTTTTACTCCACTACATTCCTAAAGAAAATATGTACTTTTCACTCCCATAAATTTTCATTGACACCCAAAAGTACATGTGACATTTTGAATGCTTAGCAGGACAGGAAAATGGTCCAATTCACGCAATTATCAAGAGGACACATGGTCATCCATACTGCCTCTGATCTGGCAGACTCACTCAAATGCTTCGTTTTTAAATGATATCTGAGTGTTGGAGTGTGCCCCTGGCTATCCGTTAATTATAAGGAATTTAAATATAAGGAATTTATAGCATTTACGTTTACTTTTGATACTTAAGTATATTTGAGCAATTATTTACATTTACTTTTGATACTTAAGTATATTTAAAACCAAATAGTTTAAGAATTTTACTCAAGTAGTATTTTACTGGGTTACTTTCACTTTTACTTCAGTCACTTTATATTAAGGTATCTTGACAATTATGTACTTTTTCCACCACTGTATTTAAATACATACAGTGGGGAGAACAAGTATTTGATACACTGCCGATTTTGCAGGTTTTCCTACTTACAAAGCATGTAGAGGTCTGTAATTTTTATCATAGGTACACTTCAACTGTGAGAGACGGAATCTAAAACAAAAATCCAGAAAATCACATTGTATGATTTTTAAGTAATTAATTTGCATTTTATTGCATGACATAAGTATTTGATACATCAGAAAAGCAGAAATTAATATTTGGTACAGAAACCTTTGTTTGCAATTACAGAGATCATACGTTTCCTGTAGGTCTTGACCAGGTTTGCACACACTGCAGCAGGGATTTTGGCCCACTCCTCCATACAGACCTTCTCCAGATCCTTCAGGTTTCGGGGCTGTCGCTGGGCAATACGGACTTTCAGCTCCCTCCAAAGATTTTCTATTGGGTTCAGGTCTGGAGACTGGCTAGGCCACTCCAGAACCTTGAGATGCTTCTTACGGAGCCACTCCTTAGTTGCCCTGGCTGTGTGTTTCGGGTCGTTGTCATGCTGGAAGACCCAGCCACGACCCATCTTCAATGCTCTTACTGAGGGAAGGAGGTTGTTGGCCAAGATCTCACGATACATGGCCCCATCCATCCTCCCCTCAATACGGTGCAGTCGTCCTGTCCCCTTTGCAGAAAAGCATCCCCAAAGAATGATGTTTCCACCTCCATGCTTCACGGTTGGGATGGTGTTCTTGGGGTTGTACTCATCCTTCTTCTTCCTCCAAACACGGCGAGTGGAGTTTAGACCAAAAAACTATATTTTTGTCTCATCAGACCACATGACCTTCTCCCATTCCTCCTCTGGATCATCCAGATGGTCATTGGCAAACTTCAGATGGGCCTGGACATGCGCTGGCTTGAGCAGGGGGACCTTGTGTGCGCTGCAGGATTTTAATCCATGACGGCATAGTGTGTTACTAATGGTTTTCTTTGAGACTGTGGTCCCAGCTCTCTTCAGGTCATTGACCAGGTCCTGCCGTGTAGTTCTGGGCTGATCCCTCACCTTCCTCATGATCATTGATGCCCCACGAGGTGAGATCTTGCATGGAGCCCCAGACCGAGGGAGATTGACCGTCATCTTGAACTTCTTCCATTTTCTAATAATTGCGCCAACAGTTGTTGCCTTCTCACCAAGCTGCTTGCCTATTGTCCTGTAGCCCATCCCAGCCTTGTGCAGGTCAACAATTTTATCCCTGATGTCCTTACACAGCTCTCTGGTCTTGGCCATTGTGGAGAGGTTGGAGTCTGTTTGATTGAGTGTGTGGACAGGTGTCTTTTATACAGGTAACGAGTTCAAACAGGTGCAGTTAATACAGGTAATGAGTGGAGAACAGGAGGGCTTCTTAAAGAAAAACTAACAGGTCTGTGAGAGCCGGAATTCTTACTGGTTGGTAGGTGATCAAATACTTATGTCATGCAATAAAATGCAAATTAATTACTTAAAAATCATACAATGTGATTTTCTGGATTTTTGTTTTAGATTCCGTCTCTCACAGTTGAAGTGTACCTATGATAAAAAATTACAGACCTCTACATGCTTTGTAAGTAGGAAAACCTGCAAAATCGGCAGTGTATCAAATACTTGTTCTCCCCACTGTATGTATTAATTGTGTTATTTCACACTACACTCTTCCTTCATTGCAGCACATTGTCCAGTTAGAGCAAAGTATAGCCAAACTGACAGCGTCTGAAATCCAATGCAAAGAGCAGCTGGCAGATGTGATCAACACATTTGAGGAACTTGTTCTTCAGAAGTAAGATTGGCATTCATGCAGGTACTGTATGTAGCGTAAGCATGGCGCATACATGGAATGCAAGGGATACTGTATGTTACATCATGTTTGCTTCCACCATTCCATCTTTTTCTACTCATTAACTGTTGTTTCCTCAGGGAATTTCATGAAAAGGAGTTGGCTGAAGTGAGAATTGCATTTGAACTGAAAGTCCAGGCACTACAGGAAAAGATTGTGGAGGTGAGAGATATTTAGGTTTTTCCAAAGCGATGCTACTACTACAGTACAGCTCCAGGGCAACATGTTGCTTCATTCTCCTCTCCCCTCTCACTCTTCTCTTCTCTCCGTTGGTGTTGCTATGGTGGGAGGGATTATAAACACCTGTATGATGTCAGATGTGAGACATCGATTTCCTGCCATTGCCAGAGGCCTCAGCCCTGCTGTTCTGTAGTCAAATTGATCTTTTTAGAAAGTATTCCTTCAAAGTCACTTTGTGCTAAGTCTGACCTTTAAGAGAGCCAGTTCACTGGAGTGTCCTCTGATGTGCTAGAGTTCACACAGTCCATCAAAGGGAATAGCAGCTGTGTCTGGTCATACGAGCCGATGACAGGCTGACTGAACGTGAAGAAAATGCCCTTTGAATAGAATTACTCTCCTGGTTTTCCCTTGTAGAGGAGTTGGGGTGTTTGTATGTGTCTGGCAAAAGTCAGAATCATACACTATATATACAAAAGTATGTGGACACCCCTTCAAATAAGTGGATTCGGCTATTTCAGCCACACCTGTTGCTGACAGGTGTATAAAATCAAGCACACCACCATGTAATCTCCATAGACAAACATTGGCAGTAGAATGGCCTTACTGAAGGGCTCAGTGACTTTCAACGTGGCACCGTCATAGGATGCCACCTTTCCAACAAGTCAGTTCGTAAAATGTCTGCCCTGCTAGAGCTGCCCCGGTCAACTGTAAGTGCTGTTATTGTGAAGTGGAAATGTCTCAGAGCAACAACGAGGCCACACAAGCGCACAGAACAGGACCGCCGAGTGCTGAAGTGCGTAGCGTGTAAAAATCATCTGTCCTCGGTTGCAACACTCACTACTGAGTTCCAAACTGCCTCTGGAAGCAACGTCAGTACAAGACCTGTTCGTCGGGAGCTTCATGAAATTTCATGCAGCCGCACACAAGCCTAAGATCATCATGCGCAATGCCAAGCGTCAGCTGGAGTGGTGTAAAGCTCGCCGCCATTGGACTCTGGAGCAGTGGAAACACGTTCTCTGGAGTGATGAATCACACTTCACCATCTGGCAGTCCGACGGACGATTCTGGGTTTGGCGGATGCCAGGAGAACGCTACCTGCCCCAATGCATAGTGCCAACTGTAAAGTTTGGTGGAGGAGGAATAATGGTCTAGGGCTGTTTTTCATGGTTCGGGCTAGGTCCCTTAGTTCCAGTGATGGGAAATCTTAACGCTACAGCATACAATGACATTTTAGACGATTCTGTGCTTCCAACTTTGTGGCAATAGTTTGAGGAAGGCCTTTTCGTGTTTCAGCATGACAATGCCCCTGTGCACAAAGCGAGGTCCATACAGAAATGGTTTGTCGAGATCGGTGTGGAAAACTTGACTGGCCTGCACAGAGTCCTGACCTCAACCCCATCGAACACCTTTGAGATTAATTGGAACGCCGACTGCGAGCCAGGCCTAATCGCCCAACATCATCAGTGCCCGACCTCAGTAATGCTCTTATGGCTGAATGGAAGCAAGTCCTCGCACCAATGTTCCAACATCTAGTGGAAAACATTCCCAGAGGAGTGGAGGCTGTTATAGCAGCAAAGGGGGGACCAACTCCATATTAATGCCCATGATTTTGGAATGAGGTTTTCAGGAGGTGTCCACATACTTTTGGTCATGTAGTGTATCTGAAACTAATTTATGATGCTAAGGGTTGGCTTTGAGTTCAGGTAGTACCTCCCCGTTTCAAAATGTTTTCTCGCTACTGAACATCCCCCTAGGATGATATGCGGGCTGGTGTGGTCTCGGGGAGCCTGTATTGTTAGATTTTAGAGCAGGGTTCCCCAAGTGTTTTGAGCAACAACATTTTTTAAAATCTTTTTTTATTGTTGGACATAAAATACAGTAAAAACACCAGCAAATCAGCTCCAAGTGATTTTAATTTTGGAAATCTGTTCGAAACTATTCCCACGCATAATAGAGAGATATACAGTACCAGTCAAAAGTTTGGACACACCTACTCATTCAAGGGTTTTTCTTTATTTTTACTATTTTTTACATTGTAGAATAATAGTGAAGACATCAAAACTATGAAATAACACATATGGAATCATATAGTAACCAAAAAAGTGTTAAACAAATCCAAATATATTTGGGATTTGAAATTCTTCAAATAGCCACCCAATTAACAGGTGTGCCTTTTTAAAAGTTAATTTGTGGAATTTATTTACTTCTTAATGTGTTTGAGCCAATCAGTTGTGTTGTGACAAGGTAGGGGAGGTATACAGAACATAGCCCTATTTGGTAAAAGTCCATCGTTACTTTAAGACAGGAAGGTCAGTCAATACGGAACATTTCAAGAACTTTGAAAGTTTCTTCAAGTGCAGTCGCAAAAACCATCAAGCGCTATGATGAAACTGGCTCTCATGAGGACCGCCACAGGAATGGAAGACCCAGAGTTACCTCTGCTGCAGAGGATAAATTAATGAGAGTTACCAGCCTCAGAAATTGCAGCCCAAATAAATGCTTCACAGAGTTCAAGCAACAGACACATCTCAACATCAACTGTTCAGAGGATACTGTGTGAATCAGGCCTTCACGGTCGAATTGCTGCAAAGAAACCACTACTAAAGGACACCAATAAGAAGAAGAGACCTGCTTGGGCCAAGAAACACGAGCAATGGACATTAGATCAGTGGAAATTTGCCCTTTGGTCTGGAGTCCATATTGGAGATTTTTTTTGTGAGACGCGGTGTGGTTGAACGGATGATCTCCGCATGTGTAGTTCCCACTGTAAAGCATGGAGGTGTGGGGGTGCTTTGCTGGTGACACTGTCTGTGGTTTATTTAGAATTCAAGGCACACTTAACCAGCATGGCTACCACAGCATTCTGCAGCGATACGGCATTCCCATCTGGTTTGGGCATAGTGGGACTATCATTTGTTTTTCAACAGGAAAATGACCCAAAACACACCTCCAGGCTATGTAAGGGCTATTTTACGAAGAAGGAGAGTGATGGAGTGCTGCATCAGATGACCTGGCCTCCAACATCCCCCGACTTCAACCCAATTGAGATGGTTTGGGATGAGTCGGACGGCAGAGTGAAAAGAAGCCAACAAGTGCTCAGCATATGTGGTAACTCCTTCAAGACTGTTGGAAAAGCATTCCAGGTGAAGCTGGTTGAGAGAATGCCAAGAGTGTGCAAAGCTGTCATCAAGGCAAAGGGTGGCTACTTTGAAGAATCTCAAATATAAAATATATTTAGATTTGTTTAACACTTTTTTTATTTATTTTTTTCATAGTTTTGATGTCTTCACTATTATTCTACAATGTAAAAAATTGTAAAAATAAAGAAAAACCCTGGAATGAGTAGGTATGTCCAAACTTTTGACTGGTACTGTATGTGATCGTATACAAATTTAAGCAAGGTTGGAAGTTATTATGTTTTAGTCAAATATTATATCTGTTTGGTTTACTTGCGGTCAATTTGTAATTATGTTCAGGCCCCCTAGTTGATGATCTCTGTTGTAAAGGATTCTCATGCATTATAGATAGGCGCTGTTTAGAAGGGCTCTGTTCTGTTATGTGTGCAGGTGGATGGTGAGATGGAGGAGGGCCAGATAGTGAATGCCATCCGCCTGGAGTCTATTGCTAAAATGTCTGACAGATTTAAAGCTCAAAGGAAAGAGGAGGACGACGTCATGGCTGAACACCTGAATGTCTCAAAACGGTATTCCATCTATACCTCTTTGCATCCTACATCTACGAAGGATCAAGTCAAACTGCAACACTGCTTTCCCTTTACTTTGCCTGACAGTCATTTTTACTTACATGTTATCATCTGTTTGTTTGTTTGTTTCATTCTCAGCTTAGAAAAGTCCAGACTTAGACTTGAGGAGCGCATTGCATCGATTGCTAAACATAAAATTGAGATCAGAGAAATGGATGAAGAGATCAAACAACTCCATGAAACCAATATGTAAGTAATATGGTCCATTTGATCATATTAGTCTATAATCTCCACTATGAGTTTTGACACTTTTGTGTAGTATCAAAGTGACTTATTTCACTAAGGACAGCATTAACCATGTGACCAAGTTAGAATTATAAAGTATGAAACGTCTAAATAATTATCTTGAAAACTACAGAGCTTTTATCTCATTGTTTAGTTGTTATGTACTAAACATAAAGTGAATGGCATGCAGAATTGTCAGAATAGTTGCTTACCTAGTTAGCATTTTGTTTCTCATAGAGTTAATGCAGACCTGTTTGAAAGAAATGTGGATGAACTGCATGGACAGCTCAATAAAGAAAAGAAGAGCATGTAAGCAACAAATAGTATCTCTTCATTTCATTACAGACTTGGACTTTCTCTTCATAGGTTGGGTTATTTGATGCAGTCTAAGTTTCTTTTTTTTAGAGCAATCTTTGAAGTTGAAAAAGAAGAACTGTGCCAGTCTCTGGAGAATCTAAAAAAAGATCACGAACAGCATGTGAATGAGGTCAACTTTGATATTGGTTTAACCAGGAGGAGATATGAGGAACTGCTTGAAGAGGTTTGCTTATTTTTCCTTAATTCTTCAGGAATCTATTGAGATAGTACATGCATATTTATATTATTATTCATTTATATTTCACAAACATTTTCATCAGGAGAAGAAACTCCAAGACCATGTATTCATGGGCGCGTTGATTGAACGTCTTGGTAACAAGATTGTTAAGGCAGAGGAGGTGAATGAACAGATGACCATTTCCTACAATGACGAGATCCAACAGTTCATAGTAAGTATATTTATATATATTTACATTTTACATCTAGCAGACATCAGTAAGCCTCATCACACATACAAGCTGTTGAGAAAACATGTATTTAATGTCTTCTTCTTCTTCTGTGAAAACAGACTGAAGCGGAGTCAGTGACACAGAGCCGACTGGAGAAGGAGGAGGAGCTGAAGGTTAAAGAGTCTATCTTGGAGGAGGTGGAGGCCCAGTTTGATATTGACCAGTCCAGGCACCAAAAACTGAAAAACCATACCTCAGGTACTGACCCAATAATCTGCTAATATATCTATAATAACAACTATAATAACACAGAGACGCGTACAAAGCTCGCCCTCCGTTTGGAAAATCTGACCATAATTATATCCTCCTGATTCCTGCTTACAAGCAAAAACTAAAGCAGGAAGTACCAGTGACTCGCTCAATACGGAACTGGTCAGATGACGCAGATGCTAAGCTACAGGACTGTTTTTCTAGTACAGAATGGAATATGTTCCGGGACTCATCCGATGGCATTGAGGAGTATACCACATCAGTCACCGGCTTCATCATTAAGTGCATCGATGACGTTATCCCCACAGTGACCGTACGTACATACCCCAACCAGAAGCCATGGATTACAGGCAACATCCGCACTGAGCTAAAGGGTAGAGCTGCCGCTTTCAAGGAGCGGGACTCTAACCCGGACGCCTATAAGAAATCCCGCTATGCCCTCAGATGAACCATCAAACAGGCAAAGCGTAAATACAGGACTAAGATTTAATCCTACTACACCGGCTCCGACGCGCGTCGGATGTGGCAGCGCTTGCAAACTATTACGGACTACAAAGGGAAGCCCAGCTGCGAGCTGCCCAGTGACACAAGCCTACCAGACGAGCTAAATGTCTTCTATGCGCGCTTCGAGGCAAGCAACACTGAAGCATGCATGAGAGCACCAGCTGTTCCGGACGACTCTGTGATCACGCTCGCCTTAGCCGAATTGTGTAAGACCTTTAAACAAGTCAACATTCACAGACAGATTACCAGGACGTGTACTCCGAGCATGCGCTGACCAACTGGCAAGTGTCTTAACTGACATGTTCAACCTGTCCCTGGCCGAGTCTGTAATGCCTACATGCTTCAAGCAGACCACCATAGTCCCTGTGCCCAAGAACACCAAGGTAACCTGCCTAAATGACTACCGACCCATAGCACTCACGTCTGTAGCCATGAAGTGCTTTGAAAAGCTTGTCAAGGCTCACATCTTCACCATCATCCCATAAATCCTAGACCCACTCCAATTTGCATACCGCCCCAACAGATCCACAGATGACGCAATCTCTATTGCACTCAACACTGCCCTTTCCCAACCTGGACAAAAGGAACACCTATGTGAGAATGCTGTTAATTGACTACAGCTCAGCGTTCAACACCATAGTGCCCTCAAAGCTCATCACTAAGCTAAGGACCCTGGGACTAAACACCTCCCTCTGCAACTGGATCCTGGACTTCCTGATGGGCCGCCCCCAGGTGGTAAGGGTAGGCAACAACACATCTGCCACGCTGATCCTCAACACGGGGGCCCCTCAGGGGTGCGTGCTTAGTCCCCTCCTGTACTCCCTGTTCACCCATGACTGCGTGGCCAAGCACGACTTCAACACCATCATTAAATTTGCCGATGACACAACGGTGGTAGGCCTGATCACAGACAACGATGAGACAGCCTATAGGGAGGAGGTCAGACACCTGGCAGTGTGGTGCCAGGACAACAACCTCTCCCTCAAAGTGATCAAGACAAAGGAGATGATCATGGACTACAGGAAAAGGGCCAAGCACGCCCCCATTCTCATCGATGGGGCTGTAGTGGATCAGGTTGAGAGCTTCAAGTTCCTTGGTGTCCACATCACCAACAAACTATCATAGTCCAAACACACCAAGACAGTCATGAAGACTGAACAGATTTGGCATGGGTCCTCAGATCCTCAAAAAGTTCTACAGCTGCACCATCGAGAGCATCCTGACTGGTTGCATCGCCGCCTGGTATGGTACTACAGAGGGTAGTGTGTATGGCCCAGAATATCACTGGGGCCAAGCTTCCTGCCATCCAGGACCTCTATACCAAGCGGTGTCAGAGGAAGGCCCTAAAAATTAGACTCCAGCCACCCAAGTCATAGACTGTTCTCTCTGCTACCGCACGGCAAGCGGTACCGGAGCACCAAGTCTAGGTCCAAAATTATTTTTAACAGCTTCTACCCCCAAGCCATAAGACTGCTGAACATCTAATCAAATGGCTACCTGGACTATTTGCATTGACCCTGCCCCCCTTTTTTTACGCTGCTGCTACTCACTGTTTATTATTGATGAATAGTCACATTACACCTACCTACATGTACAGTACCAGTCAAAAGTTTGGACACACCTACTCATTCCAGAGTTTTTCTATATTTTTACTATTTTCTACATTGTAGAATAATAGTGAAGACATCAAAACTATGAAATAACACATATGGAATCATATTGTAACCAAAAAAGTGTTGAACAAATCAAAATATATTTTAGATTTGAAATTCTTCAAAGTAGCTACCCTTTGCCTTGATGACAGCTTTGCACAGTCTTGGCATTCTCTCAACCAGCTTCATGAGGTAGTCACCTGGAATGCATTTAAATTAACAGGTGTGCCTTGTTAAAAGTTAATTTGTGGAATTTCTTTCCTTCTTAATGCATTTGAGCCAATCAGTTGTGTTGTGACAAGGTAGGGGTGGTATACAGAAGATAGCCCTATTTAGTAAAATACAAAGTCCATATTATGGCAAGAACAGCTCAAATAAGCAAAGAGAAACAACAGTCCATCGTTACTTTAAGACATGAAGGTCAATCAATCCAGAAAATGTTAAGAACTTTTAAAGTTTCTTCAAGTGAAGTCGCAAAAACCATCAAGCGCTATGATTAAACTGGATCTCATGAGGACCGCCACAGGAAAGGAAGACCCAGAGTTACCTCTGCTGCTGCTGCTGCAGAGGATAAGTTAATTAGAGTTAACTGCACCTCAGATTGCAGCCCAAATAAATGCTTCACGGAGTTCAAGTAACAGATACATCTCAACATCAACTGTTCAGAGGAGACTGTGTGAATCAGGCCTTCACGGTCGAATTGCTGCAAAGAAACCACTACTAAAGGACACCAATAAGAAGAAGAGACTTGCTTGGACCAAGAAACACGAGCAATGGACATTAGACCGGTGGAAATCTGTCCTTTGGTCTGATGAGTCCAAATCGGAGATTTTTGGTTCCAACCGCCGTGTCTTTGTGAGACGCAGAGTAGGTGAACGGATGATCTCTGCATGTGTGGTTCCCACCGTAAAGCATAGAGGAGGAGGTGTGATGGTGTGGATGTGCTTTGCTGGTGACACTGTCTGTGATTTATGTAGAATTCAAGGCACACTTAACCAGCATGGCTACCACAGCATTCTGCAGCGATATGCCATACCATCTGGTTTGGGCTTAGTGGGACTATCATTTGTTTATAAAATATATTTTGATTTGTTTAAAACTTTTTTGGTTACTACGTGTTTCAAAATGTGTTATTTCATAGTTTTGATGTCTTCACTATTATTCTACAATGTAGAAAATAGTAAAAAATAAAGAAAAACCTTTGAATGAGTAGGTGTGTCCAAACTTTTGACTGGTACTGTACATATTACCTCAATTACCTCGACTAACCTGTACCTCCTCACATTGACTCGGTACCGGTACCCACTGTATATAGCCTCGTTATTGTTATTTTATTGTTGCTCTTTTATTTTTTACTTTAGTTTATTTAGTAAATATTTTCTAAACTCTTATTTTTCTTAAAACTGCATTGTTGGTTAAGGGCTTGTAAGTAAGCATTTCACGGTAAGGTCTACACCTGTTGTATTCAGCACATGTGACAAATACAATTTGATTTGATTTGATTTAGTAGACAATATCAAGTAGGCATACACAAATATGCAGATATCTCAAAGAACGTACTCACTATAACCTTAAAAATCATGTAGTGCAGCATTTGATAATTACTTAAATGATTTTCCCCACCAGAGTTAAAGAATAAGAACAATCATTTGGAGCTCTCCATCCAGGATATGAAAGAGAACATTAGTACTCTTCTCAAACCAAAGGTGAGTTTCACAACAACAACAAAAACATTCATTATGTACATCTTGGTTACCACATACTCTAAATGACAAGCTGTGAAGTGCAGCAGCATTGAAACAGTCTGATTGTAACTGACTGACAGGAGGACATGAAGAGGAGTCTGGAGGGTTTGCGTGAGAAACACATGGAGCTGCTGACGTCTCACGCTGCAGACATCATCGCCACTGAGAAGAGCATCTATGACAACGGGATGATGCTGCAGCAGGTCAATATGGAGAACAGCAGGCTGCATGTGGTAAGCGACATGAGTCACTCACAATGCCCCTAAGAGACATGAGTCACTCACTCACCTACCAAGCAAAAACTCAATGTAAACATTGTTTTTCAGTGTATTGAACAAATGAAGGAGGACATATGGAACACCAGGAAAGACCAGGAAAGACACACACAGGAGATTGGGTGGCTGAAAGAGGAGGTTCATTCTCTATTTGGTGAGCATCAGCCGAGCTCAATGACTCCAACTATTGTAAAACGTTGTGCATAACATTTAGTTCAGTCTATCAGGTTTCAATATCATAACTTATAAATGCATCTTCCCCTAGAGAGCCTGCTTGATGCATGGGCAGAGGACACTGTGGTGACCGAGGTAAGGACTCTTAAAACATGGCTGGTCAATTCAGCAGCTTACTGTACAGACGTTATTTCATTTTTTACAACCTGTGATGTTAACTTATAGTCTGACCACATGCTGACAGACAACCGTGTACATGACCTGATTTCTCTGGTTAACGTATTTGGACAAATCCACAGTGCAGGACTTGAGTGATTCGTAAGTCAATAGTAAACTGTCATGAGAGACCACACTAAATCATCCAATGACTCATTCAACACTTCAGGAATCTTCAGAGAGAGACCACAAGATTATGGAGGCTATCCACAGACTCATGACCAAGATCCAAGACAGGAAGTTCCAACTGGGGGACATCAACAGTAGACTAGAGGAGGAACTGAAGGGCATGCGTTCCATGTTGGCCAGTACTAAATCGAACGTTGCACTTAAAGTACAGGGCAAGTAAAGTGAGACATCAAGAAGGATTACATCAACACAATTGTTGTGTTACAAAAACTCAGCACAAATGAAAGTCATATGAGATTAAAGTAGATGAGTACTCACATTTGTGGTTTTTATTTCAGAAAAATCTTAACACTTTATAACACACTACATTTCACAAGTTTTTTTTTACAATACATTTTACAATAAATAGTCAAAATTGCAGCTAACCAAGTCCTTGTTCTGTATGTTTTAAAATTACACTGTGCAATAAAATTATATATTTCCAATAAACATCCATTGTTATCTATTTACAAGCGTTCTATGAGCCTGCATAAAATACATTCACAATTTAATTTGCTTACTATTCAACAGCATATTTCCCCAACATCATTTATGGGGAAACAGCAGGATAATTTTCATTCCATTTTTTATCAAGCAAAATATAATGGAACTTCATCCACTTGGCTTGTAACATATAATATTAGGTTATAATAAACCATTTTATCTGCCTCTGGACGTATGCATGTGTTCAGAGTTTTTGGCACATAAGATTTAGTTCAAGAACATCTAACTCAACTTATACTATTGGACAATCCAAAGACCATCTTTGATTTCACTGCAACAATCAAATATATCTGAGCTTAAAACAATCAAGGATGTTGAGCATATAATATGACACAGAGTGAATATCTATACAAAGCATGTCTCAAAACAGCCTCAATGAGGAACAGTACATCTTAGGCCTTAGGTTGTAAAGACAACATTCAAGTGGCCACAGCCATGTAACATACAATACCATTCAATAACTAACAACACTTGAAATATATGGAGATGTATAGTTTATAGACATACAGTATGTACACAGGGTGTTTGTATTCCCACCTTAGTTGTAGGAATATCATAAAATATTCCTTCTCACTGTGAGAGGAATTCACACTATCAACACTACATGCAGCAGTCATCATACTACCATAGGCAGAGACAGCAGTAAAGGCTAGCGTCCATATAGCTCCATGCACAACACCTCCTGAATTGATAGACAGGTGGACATTAAAGGTAGACTCAGCAATATGAAAAATGCAGAAAGGAAACAGCATAGTGGGTCAATTTCCGCAACAACTAAGAGCGTTGAAGCGCAAAGCTCAACTTCTCCGCTGTTTTGGTCCAGCGGCTCCCACGCTGTAAGAGCGTGAAGTGAACCCGTGAACATGCGCAGATACTGTGTGTGACCGAAGTCTTGCATCTCGCTCATCTCAATATCTGCAGTGCTGCTCGTGGCAACGTCATTTCGAGTCTAACTTTAATACCCACATCCATCTATAATAGTTCTAATGGCCGTTGCCACCTTCTGACAGAATCCGTCTAGGTTCAGTGAACCTGGCAGTGAGCAGGTAGAAAAGGGCGGGTCCAGGTACCAGGGCCAATAGAGGCAGGTCCTGTTCCAGTTTATCCAATCGGGAGATGGAGATGATGCCATACGCGTGAAGGAGCCAATGGCTGAAGAGCACCACCAACCTCTTCTTCTTGGCAGCGAGATTCTTGAAAGACTATGGATAGGAGTAAAGGGAGGAAACACTTAGGAAATGGGATATGTGCTCAAACAATTATATTGACTGAGCTGATATCAAACTTTAAAAACGTTGGTTAGGTCAATATAAAATAAGCAGTTTCTTACCTGTATTTCTGAGGCTGACATGTACACTGCCAAAGTAACCAGGGACAACACCAAAATAATGTATGGAAAAGCATAATCTGAAAAACAGAAAGCAGCAAGCTTATACCACAGTCACAAGGCAAGACCTTTAGTCTCGCCAGGCCATCCTTCTAAATCTTGTCTCGTTGCCTCGACTATTGGAAATGGGGGGGGGCTGAATCAATACAGCTACATAACGCGCTATTATTTGGCACAATATTATATAGATACTTTGACTCCAAGTATCGATTTGTGAAAATATAAACACAACATGCACTGTTGGTCCTATGTTTCATGAGTTCAAATAAAAGATCCCAGAAATGTTCCATACGCACAAAAAGCATATTTCTCTCAAATATTGGAAAAAATGTGTTTACATCCTTGTTAGTGAGCATTTCTCCTTTGCCAAGACAATCCATCCACCTGACATGTGTGGCATATCAAGAAGCTGATTAAACAGCATGATCATTACACAGGTGCACCTTGTGCTGGGGAAAATAAAATGCCACTCTAAAATGTGCAGTTTTGTCACACAACACAATGTCACAGATCTCTCAAGTTTTGAGGGAGCGTGCAATTGGCATGCTGACTGCAGGAATGTCTACCAGAACTGTTGCCAGAGAATTTAACGTTAATTTCTCTACTATAAGTTCCCTCCAACGTTGTTTTAGAGAATTTGGTAGTACGTCCAACCGGCCTCACAACCGCAGACCACGTGTAACCACGCCAACCCAGGACCTCCACATCCAGCTTCTTCACCTGTGGGATGGTCTGAGATGAGCCACCCGGACAGCTGATGAAACTGTGGGATTTCACAACCAAAGAATTCTGAACAAACGGTCAGAAACCGTCTCAGGGAAGCTCATCTGCGTGCTCGTCGTCCTCACCAGGGTTTTGACCGGACTGCAGTTTGGAGTTGTAACCAACTTCAGTGGGCAAATGCTCACCTTCAATGGCCACTGGTACGCTGGAGAAGTGTGCTCTGCACGGATTAATCCCGGTTTCAACTGTACCGGGCAGATGGCAGACAGCGTGTATGGCATTGTGTGGGGAGCGGTTTGCTGATTTCAACGTTTGAACAGATTGCTCCATGGTGGCGGTGGGGTTATGGTATGGGCAGGCATAAGCTACGGACAACGAACACAATTGCATTTTATCGATGGCAATTTGAATGCAGAGATACACCGTGACGAGATCCTGAGGCCCTGTCACGGTTTCGGCCGAGGCTGCCTCTCTTCCTTGTTCGGGCAGGCTTCGGCGTTCGTTGTCTCCGGAATACTAGCTGCCACCGTTGCATGTTTCTATGTTCGTTTGCTTTTGTCTGTTTGTTGTGACACCTGTTCTCGTTTAGGTTAATTAGTGTCCTATAAGTTTCTCGTTGTGTTTGTCTAGTGTTGTGTGTGATTGATTTATTTCTGTCGTGTGTTTTGCTGTAGAATTACTTATTCGCTCGGTTGAGCTTTACTCCACTGTGTTGGAGCGTTTTACGCACCTGTGTAGTGCGCCTTTTGTTTTGTCGCCTACGTGCGTAGTTTCGCCTTCGGGCAAGTTTGTTCGAATTTTCCTTGTTGGAAATTGCACTAAAGTCTTTTGGACTATACTTCGGTGTCCTGCGCTTGATTCCACCACTACACCCACCTACAGCATTACTGACAAAATCACACACCATCAAGAATGGAATCAGCAGGAGCCGCAGCAGCCCAGGCGACGCTGGAGGACAGGGTCCGTGAACAGAGTGACCAGATCCTGCAGATGGGGTCCGCACTGCAGGAGGTGATCACCACCATCCGAGGCTGGGGGACGCCTCCACCGCCATCCTCTCTGCCAGCACCATCGGCCAGTCAGCCCATTCCCGCTCCGGAACCCAGAGGAGTTTCGACTCTCGCTCCCGAGGGCCTACGATGGGACCGCGGCCGGGTGTCAGGGATTCCTTCTCCAGGTGGAGCTTTACCTGGCCACCGTGCACCCGGCGCCCTCCGGACATGAGAGCGTGTCCGCCCTGATCTCCTGCCTTTCCGGGAAGGCGTTGGAATGGGCCAACGCAGAGTGGAGGAGGATCGACGCGAACACCATCACCTACGACGAGTTCTCCCGCCGCTTCAGGGCGGTGTTTGACCATCCCCCGGAGGGGAAAGCAGCGGGGGAGCGTCTGGTCTTCCTCCGGCAGGGGAAGAGGAGTGCCCAGGGTTGCCTTAGAATTCGTACTCGCGGCGGATGCAGGGTGGAAGAGCGGGTTTTCACGATCAACAGATGATCTACGCGAGGACGTCCGTCGGGAGGGCCCGTAGGGACACCGCCTTTGTTGACCCGTTTTTCGACAGTCCATCGGGGGGATAACCCGCTAGCTACCCGCGGACGTTTTCCCCGAGGGGGGGTCCGCCTTTAAGCGTTAAAGCCCCAAAGCTCAACTTTTTCCCGTTGGGCCCCGCGGCTCCCACGCTGAAATAGCTTAAAGTAAACCCGTGAACGCCGATCCCGTGTGTAAACCGGTCTTGCACCCCTCGCCATCTCAATATTTTCCGTGCTGCTCTTTTGGGCAACGTCTTTTCCCGAGCCCTAACTTTATACCCAAAATCCATCTATAATATTTTCCTAAGGGCCCGGGTTTCCCCCTTTCTGCCCCGAATCCGTCGGGGTTCATAAACCCTGGCAGTGAGCGGTAAAAAGGGCGGGTCCAGGTCCGGGGCCAATGAGGAAAGGTCCTTTTTCCCTTTTTAACCAACCCGGGAGATGGGGGTTTATGCCATAAAAAACGCGTGAATGAGCCAAGGGTTTTGAAGAGCACCCCCAAAACCTTTTCTTTTTTGGCCGAGATTCTTGAAAGATTTTAATAGGAAAAAAGGAGGAAACATTTAAAAGGAAAATGGGATATGTGCCAAAAAATTATTTTTGCGGAGCTTATAAAATTTTTAAAAACTTTTGGTTAGGTCTATAAAAAAAAGCAGTTTTTTACCTGTATTTTGACTGACATGTAAAACCCCAAAGTAACCGGGAAAAACCCCCAAAAAAATGTAGGGGAAAACATAATCTGAAAAACAGAAACCCAAAAGTTTGACCACGTCAAAAGGAAAAACCCTTTTAGTCCCCCCCCGGGGGCCATCCTTCAAAATTTTGTCCTTTTCCTCATTTGGGAAAGGGGGGGGGGCTTAAATAAAATACGCTACAAAACGCGCTTTTTTTGGGGGGCACAATATTAAAAAGATCTTTGCCCTCCAAGTATCGTTTTTTAAAAAAAAACCCCAAAACCCCCCTTTTTGGGCCCCTATTTTTTCATATTTTTCAAAAAAAGATCCCAGAAATTTTTCCATCCCCCCCAAAAAGAA